TCCCCCAAGATCAGATCGATAATTTGATACTCAGCATGCCTAGGCGTTGTACGGACTGTATTGCATCGTCTGGGAGACATACAATGTATTAACAATCATACCAACCATGTAATATTGTTTTTTTGTAAATAGGTTTTTTTTTGTAATTTGCTCCAGGGAGAAAAAATCGCTAATTTTTTTAATAATATCAAACATATACCATCTTTTTTTTTTTTGCTCTTTACCTTTTGTTTAATAAATAAGTTTTACAAATATGTCAAATTTGTTTTGGTTCTAACTCTTCCTTTGCCTGATTTTACATTATCCTTAATTTATGGACATGAGTGTATTTGAAGTTCTGTTATCCTTCACATTCTCGATTTTAAAGACTGACCACTTTAAGGTCATGACCATTTTAAGGACTGACCACTAATTTTAAGGATTAAGTTAAGGACTGACCATTTTTTAGCTTCTTCTTCCGTCCTTTTTATATAATTTTACATATAGGTATATTCACTTAAAAACTTAAGGTTCTTCGAAGGCCACCCCTAACCAGAGGCCCAGATCAGCCCGCTTCTTTATCCCCTTTCAATCAGCACGCCCCTGGTCAAGAGAATCTTAAACTTCTACCCAAGAGATATACATACGTAATTCAGAATCAGGAATTAAATCTTCGCTTCGGAGATAAAGGTATGAGGAAAGAGATGTATGCATAAACTAGATTAGAATAACGGTTACACCACTTTACCTCATAACGGAGTGATATATTCTATATAGCGTCATGAAACGAGATCTGCATTGATAATTTAAGCTACTTGAATCATGGCTAGAAATCGAGAGGCGATGAGAATAATATCTGCAACCAATTAATATCTTTATTGGTTGCCGAAGATGCATATATCTAATTAATATTAACAAGAAAATAACTGCGAATGCGTCTAGTATACACAATTTATGCTGTGAATTCAGAATAGCGTGAATGTTTAAACAATTCGATACATTCATGTTTTATTCGATCTGGCTTTATTAAACAAGGCACTAATCGAAATAGGCTAAAGCAATGCTGTCATATTAACAGATCGTAAAAAATGAGAACAGTTATTTCGAGGCAATACTACACTAGTAGTTTTACCCGCAAAAGATGAAAGAATTTGATTATTAAGATGCTGAAGGATTATAACCGCAGTAGTATTCTAGGTACTATGTCACAATCGGAGTTTTCAAGTTAATAATTCATGTTATCTGTTTACTCTCAGATAAAAATTAAGAAATATGTTTAACATACATCTGGAAACTTGAACCTTTAGTAAGAGGTAAAATTAGACTTTATTTGGAATAGCCAATTTCAGCATACTTTTGAGTAATTTATTCCATAGAAAATCTATTTCTGTGTTTGCCTTCTTAATCAAACTAAATATTTTCACTCATCTAAATTAAAGATTTACATTTCCTATTAATCGCTATCACAGCAACTTTGTTGTTGATTCTCGTCTTTATACTAGTTAAAAAGTTGCCTAATTTGATATTCTCATTAAAGAAGATGAATATTACATCAGGAAGACATAGATTAATAAGTGTTTCCTTATTAATTAACTGCTTGCCAATTGTTTGATGACTATTTTTGCTAATTCATTTTCGGCTAAAATTGCTCAAAAAAAAAAAAAAAAACTTCTTCAATTGGTGTATATATTAGATTAATATATCGAATAAGTTAATATATCGAAATTTGTAAACTTTCATTATATCTTAATCATTACTCTCTGTGGTCTCTTCTGTATATATCATTACATATATTTTAGGTTTTCTTCTCTTTTTAAGTATCCGCAAACGATGGCGTGAACAGTTCATATAGTACAACTTAGAGATTGGACTGCTTAAGAGATTGAGTTTGTAAAGAATAATTTACTTCCGAATGTGGAAATTCTTTATGTTTGTGTTTTGAAATTCATTTCAATAAAAAACTGGTGTTATGAATTATACTCATGTTCAAAAGATGTCCTAGGCTGGCTATCATTATAAAATGTATCTCCATATATTCTGACGAAGCAACTTTGCTGTGATTTTCACAATTAACATATGCGTAATAAAGAGAATTGATATACTTGTACTTCTTGCATTTAGGATCTCTGTAGTAACTCGAAACAGGTGAAAAGGAAAGTGACACTAATGATGAATTGCTTTTGTCAGAAAATCTGACATTGAAACACTAAATCGATAAAAGTGAAATTTTTCACCTTATCTCAACAATTTGCAAGTGAAAGATTAAGAAATTTTTAATAAAGCTTTAAATCACCAAACTTGGCTAATCTTTGGAATATGGTAACAGGTAGTTTGGCGACATTTTGGTAAGGTGATAAAGGTTACTAGCTAGGACTTTAGCAATAATCTGAGAAGTACATAGTTCCAGTCACAGATTATTTTGTGGCGACTTTTATAATAGATAATATAGAGGGAAAAGAAAATTAGTGTAATGGTTAATCTTTAGATTATGGTAACTTGGCGATTTTTTGGCGACCAATCCTGCTACAGCAACCTGCTAGTTTTTTGTTTTTTTTTTTTCACGCCATTTTGTTTTTCACGAAGTAAAGGCATGTTTTTTTTTTTTTTTTTTTTCAACATTTTTTTCCAACAATCTGCTAGCCGAATTACGCTTATGCTAGAATTTTTATGGAACAAAAGTGCTTAATCATGACAAAGATTAGGTGCGAAATTGGGAGAAAGTGCAGAATCGCAAACTACTTGCCGCGTTTTTAAGAATTGTACATACACGGTATCCATGTACACGTCGACCTATTTTCACTTAAAAAAAAATCCCAGAATTGCACAAAAATGGCATTCGCACACACTTGTTTTTATCCATGTACACTACTAAAGTCCTAGCTAGTAACCTTTATCGCCTTACCAAAATGTCGCCAAACTACCTGTTACCATATTCCAAAGATTTGCCCCAAACTGCAGTGTAGTTTGATCTCGCATAGGGTTTTATTTTTAAGCAAAATTTCATATGACTGCAGGAACCTTTCATCCTGCATGAATACTACACTATAAAACACTTGCCTCGTTTGCAAGGAGGGAGGGATACTACCTTATAAAATCGCTGCATAACATTCGACTGTGATAGAAACAGTTCTAGAACTTAGAACTGTGGACTTCCTCAAAAAAAGGTGTACAACGAATTATTCGGTGAACCCACACCACGTCATCATCCGAAATGTAGTAAATGTGTGCATTTGTACTTTCATTTAGCGAAAAGTATCTTCACAGACCCCGTGACGTTTAGTAACGAGACAGGATTGTTTCCATATGTTCAAATGCCCACTTTGCAAATCTACTGATTTCAGTTTTTGTTCGTGGTAGATTTTGTAAAGATTAATATTGAGGATGATCTTGAATGATCGCCACCCATCCCATACAAAAATGCCGGTTCACTGGTGAAACATTTAACTGTTCTGGCACTAAATATTTCTTTTTATAAAGAATTTATTAAGAAATCCGTGTTTTTCTGCTCATTTCCATGATATCTGTACCATGCAATTGTTACATTTACATTTGCCGCAAACGAATTGCTTTTTAATTACTCAATTTTTATTTTATCTTCGTCTATTTCTAACAGGTACAAATGTAGCACCTATCTTATTTCTTTATACTAACACAGAAATCCTATGATCTCAGGCTGAAGCGTTTCAGTAAACTTTGCTGCGCATTAAAAAGTATAAACAGTCATACTGAAAACTTTTATTATCAAACTCAAGAATCCTTCTTAAGCGAAAGCAGAATTAGAATTGGAATGAGCTTTTTCCTAGAAGATAGATCAAAATCGAGATCAAAATTCGAGATCGCAGCAAATTTTGAAGCTTATTTGCTTTCTGAGAAAAACTGTGAGACATCTGTTCGTGTTTGCATTTCAAAAACTCTTAAGTTGTTATTATTATATATTTCAAATAGAATTCAGAATGTTAAGAGAGTAGTTCGATCGGTGAAAGTAAAATAGACCAGGCAAATAATCCGGAAAGTAAAATTCATTACTGCCGGCAATATAAACATCGTCGGTTAGGTATGGTTAATAAGGATGTTGGATTACTTCTGAAATTTACTGGGACAGACAACTGAAATGAAGATTTCCAGATGAGAGTTACACAGATTATCGAGGCTTTAAACATTGTGCTATTATGAGCTACATAGCCTCAATTCTACAGTTAATTTTGATTAAGTTCTGAAAAATCAGTGAAATAACAGCCCTACTCTTTAAAGAGTTTTTATACCATCTAATTGCAGAGCAATGATTTTAATTTTACTTCCGTTATGGCATATGTCTACTCTAACCTCAGATGAATATTACGTCACGACATCGTGGCAGTAATGGAATACTTTTAACACATACTTTAATCTAAGTTCAATGGGCGCTCTAAATCCTTGTATCGCAGTGTCATGTGGGTAACAAATTCGTTCATATTGCAGAAGGTTACCAAGATTAATTATGTAACATTTTTCAGCTTCCCATGACTAGAGCAATCCTTAAAATTCTGATAACAGATTTTTATGAAAAATGAATATCTTGAAGTTTGTAGGAAATAAAAAGGAAATAAACAACGTATATGTTTCTTTTTCAGGATAAAACTGGAAAATGTGAACTTTGGTTTAATTATTAATAATTAATTATATGGCTAGTCTTTCAAAGAATTCAAAAGATGATAGATCCAAATTAGATTATTAATGTAGCATGTTTGGAAAAAAAAGTACCTTCTAGTCAAATAATATCTAATTAAATCAGGATAATATTTTGAACAGGTCTGAAAAATATTTGGCCTCATATTAAAAATACTTTACTAGGTGTATTTCTTTTTATTAATTTGGACATTTTATCTAAATAAGGCTTTCAAACGGAGTTTCCTCAAATTAAAATATTTTTATCGCATTATAACTCCTTTTCAGGTTTTCGTTTACTATAAATATTGCAATATACTGCAAATCATGTTACGGTGCTAGCTATCATAAAGCAAAAACTGGAATAAAAAAGTCACCTCGTTGCTCCTTGCTAGCAGGGCTCTCTGCTGTTCCGGAGTACCCCGTCCTTCCAAATCGGGGTCCGACGGCACGTAATAAAGCGCTTGCTGAGCTGCTGTTGGCGCGTATTGCGTTAGAAGAGGTCGTGATGTAGAGAGTAGCGTCGTGAGTGCAGTGAAGCTCGGGCGACGGCCCTGGCTGACGAGCATTCGACGAGGTCTCCTCAGCTGACCGTCCAAGTCGTGGTCGTAATGAGCATTCTGGGGAATTTAAAGTCAGAAATGGGAAGGGGAATATCAAATTCAAGTAAAAGCGTATAAATGGCAAAATGATTTACAAAGTATCTGAATAGTAAGAACACTGAAAAAAAAATATATATATATATATATATGTGGAAAACGCGGACTGCTTTTATTACAGTAAAGCATGCTAAGTATACAATGGAGAAACCTGAACTTTTTAAAGTTATCTTTGTATCTAATTAATGTGTAGTCTTTCTCTGAACTCTAAGAGGTGTTAACGAGAAGCTATGCATTGTCCCATTATTAAAATCGGATTTTCTAATAATTTGCAAAGATTAAAGGAATGCATAATTTTATGAGTAAAGAGTAAATATATATGTAGATTTTCTAATATTATCTGAAACATTAATATTCTTTATTCATAAAAAATGTAATAAATAATGACAATAATAATAATAATAATAATTAATAATAATAAAGATAAGAAAGTCGTGTATTCATTTTGTTTGATCAAAAAATTAAGCAAGCGAATTAAACTGAAGGTATGGGTAATTCCGAATTAAGATTCTTTGAAGAGATATTCAGATGCATTTTAAAATACCTATACAAGGTGCAGGATGAGACACAAGAAATATAACTGCAAAACTCAATAATGCACTCAATAAGTAACTTAATCATTTATTAATTAATTAGTTAAAAGATGTGAGTTATCGTTTTAAATTTTCTTACAGATAAATGACGATGAAACAGTTTAATCATGTGATAGTCTTACGAAATCCTCTACGAAGTCATCCTCATAAAGCAAATTACCATTGCATATTTTGCTTAAAGAAATTAAAATTTCAGTAATTATTTCGTTAAAGAAAAGCGAAATTTTCTTTAAAATGTTTTATATTAAATTAAAAAACTAGATAAATTAAATTAAGAATAGAATATATAATCCTATGCATTTCTTACACAATATGTAATTAGAATGTTAAAAAATTTTAGAGTTTCTCATCTCAGTTGAAATGATTAGTTTGCATTGAACCATTGAACTAAGCAAAGTATACAAAAGGTTGTTTGCCTGTCTGATAAACTGAATTAATAATTCAGTTTATAGGGTGGATACTACGTTCCCATTTCTTTTCAGCAAACGTAAAAAAATTAACACTATTGTTGCGTGCATTAGAATTTCCACAGAAGCAATCTTACCCCCATTTTCTAAAAGTGTTTTAAATATATTTCTTCCTTTTTATGCAAACTTATCTTTTTTCTTATTACTATAGACTATTTTCATACTTTTTGCTTAGATCTCTTCAGAGTAAGCTATTTTAAGCGTAATCCATATTGTAAAATAATTGGTTTCTTTTCTATCGAATTAAGAGCTTCGGAAAGCTTTTGAATTAATGTGCTACTTGGTACTTGACCATTCATTTCTTTATGAGCGATTAATTCGTACTACCTGTGAATTTCCATTTTGATTTAAAAAGAATCATTACCTATATTATAGTGTCTTTCATTTCCTTTTCTCAACACTCTTTTCATTTTGTTATTATTTTCTCTTTGTTTAACACGTAAATTAAGTTTTAAAAGCATATTTTAAGACATTGTATTTATTATAGTAACCTAATTTGTCTATTTCTTCTCACTAAAAAATGTAATGTTCTATAGCAAAAACAAGCGTGCTTTACATATGTAACAGTTGGAGGAAATGTCCTGACTTATGAAATACAAAAAAATGAAGAAAAAATTATTCTTTGTCACACAATATTCTTAGAAAAGTACACAATTTAGGAACACGCAGCTTTTTGTACATTCCCTTATTACAATTCAAAACGTTTTCCGGGATATCAGCGCTTAAGAATTTAAAACTACATTTATTTTTTCCTTCTTCATCCCTAATGGAAAAGATTTATAAATCATTGAGAACTGTCATGGGAATGCGCACATTTCGGAAAATCTTTCCATTTCCACAGTCACATAGAATTTCTCTCATACGTGACTTGAATACCAAATAAGGGCAACCCCCGTTCTGCACTATGGCTTTGCTACGAAACCCCATTTACCTCTACATCGATCGCCACGCCTCCAGCAGAGTTTTTCCGCTTCCTCAGTTCTGTGATAAGTTCGACGAATTCTTCTTTCAGTTCTTCCATCCGATGATTGAGCGCCCTTTGGTACACTGGTACCGGGGCGTACTCCAAGGGATGAACGTACCCCGGCATCGATATGAGCTCCAGCTTACGGGTGATCTCATGCAGCTCGTCTTGGACAGCATGCAGCTTGCTATTGATCTGTGGGAAAAAAGTAGGAAATAAGAAGCAAGGCTGGAATAAAGATTTAGACCATTTTTTCTCATGCTGACAGGCTTTGTGACTGGGGGGGGGGAGAAAACACCAGAAAAAAGGTTTCTAAGCGCCTTGTTTTTGCCGATTTATTTTGCCTCGTTTTTTGTTGACGACCTTCTGAAAAGGAAATGTGTTTTTGTTGATTGTCCTGTTTGTTGTGAGTCACAAAAGGATTTAGGCATAAAAAAGAAAAATACGCATACTTGGCTCGAAAGTTCCGCTGGTAGTATATTATTTCATGCACTCCGTCATAAAAGAGAGCATGGAATGTGTATTTCAAAGAAAGGAATGGTGTTTTTCTTGCTGTTCATTGCGTAAGGACTATTATACAAGAACCAAAAGTTCTCGAAGTAGGGAATTTTGAACCTTTTTTATGTAATGTCAGGCTCGTGAGAATATGAAAAGGGAAAGATATCATAATAACGAAATACTTTGTAGAAATGTTGTTTATAGGGATTTGAATGCCGTTGCTCTTATAATAAAGCTCCCAATTTCGAATGAAAAATTGCGTAAGCTATTTTGAAACGTTTTACTGATACCCTGCCCATTTGTAGAGTTTAAACAGGTTATTATGTACATCTGAAACAATTTGATATTTCTAAAAATTTCACATAAATTTTAACATTTCTTTATACCAAGTATAAATGCATATGCATAGCAAAATATTTTCAAATGTAATCTTCATTCTTTGGGAATATCTCCATAAATATTAAGATAACTTCAGATCAGGACACATTATTAAACCGTATAACTGTGGTACATAGCAATCTAATAATTTGTGATAAGGTCACATAAAGGAAGAAGAAACTGAAGATTAATATGGACTAGGATGTCTCAAGAGCATAAAATGAATATTATTATTATTTAACGTCCGAATACGTTTTCAATAGTTGTTAAGTTGAATTAATTGTTTTAAAAATAATATTAATATGTTGGCATTGTTTCAAACACAGGCTCGACAGCCACGTGTTGCTCTCGTGCACCAGAATGTTCTCGTGCACGATTAAAAAGTTTTAAAAAGCTGGAGAAAAACATCTCAGTTCAGTTGTTTACTAAGTTTTTGTTGTTGGTTTTTGCGAATTTACGGTGAGATTGGATTAGCTTTCTCTGCATTCTGGATTGAGTTCTATTTAACGTTTTATTAGTTTAATAATATAACTTCTATGTGATATTGTGATATTGTACGAATATCTGTGAGGAAAAATTGTAGCTTTTTGTTGAATATCTTGTGATAAGAATTAATTTTATTGACTTTTTATCGGACTTGTGCATTCAATTTATTACGAACCCGTACGTACGCAACAGTATGTTTCCACTTCTAGCTAACAGTGAAGGTATAAAACTATAACATACTGTTGCGTGCGTACGGGTTCGTTGCGAAATGAATGCACAAGTCCGATAAAAAATGAAGAAATTTTATTATTATCACAACAAATATGATTAAATGTCCTCAAATAATCGTGCAGTTTCACAATATATCACAGTAGTATCTTTTAACTACTCAAACGTTCAAGAGAATTCAAAACAGCTAAAGAAAGCTAATCCGCGAATTCGCTACAATCAACATTAGCAGTTTTTTAAACAAACTCTTAAAACAAACTAAGTAAATTAACTAATTAATCGGATTTTTTTATTTATTTCTTATTCACCGCAGGTATACACACTACATTGAGTTTTGACCTGTTCAATCTGTGCAGCCTATAAAGGCCATTCACGGTTTTTAGTGCATTAAGGTGCTACTGCACCTCGCCCGGGGGGCGTAACATTAGAACAAGGTGCAATCATTCCGTGGCGAAGTCAAGCTGAATATACGAAAATTGGGAAATTAGTACTTGGAAAACAAAATCATCCAGCATTCAAGTCCATGCATGATGCATTCGGTCAGGATAGTAGCGTAAGGTTACTGAGATAGGGTGCGCGGTTACTACGAACTGAAATGTTTTCCTTCTTTTATAAGATTTAAAAATCACGCGTTAGAATTTTCTAGTACTTTCTCGAAATCGAAAAGAGATATTTATTTATTTAATGCACGCGCTCTTGTATTTTCAGTTTTCCGGCTTAGCTTTCTTTTAATATTCGTCACGCGCTGCACTGCGCGAGAAATAAAACCATTTAATTTATAATTGAACTAACATTAGCTTTTTAAATACCAAATTCGTAACAATACTTTTAATCAAATTGATTTCTTTTCTCTTTAAAGAATTTCAGAAGCAAATATAATAAGTATGTCAAATAAATAGCACAAGCCAATATGGGATATATTTTCCCCTTAGATAAGTGCAGTCTAATCAGTTTAGAAATAAATACCCCTTTCATGTGATTCATATTCTCTTGCACTATTGTATAGATTTTTTTTGTTTCACATATCGAAATCAAAGAATGAATGATAGTTTAATTTAGAAAATCCGCTATCAACCGAGAGCGACAGTGTAGGAATCAGTATCAGTAAAGCAGATCGTGACTCTTACAATATTTATTCAAGAAAGGTACTCCCGGATTCTAAAAAATTCGCAGGAAGCCATTACAATCATTCTCATCTTCTTACCACTTTAATCAGCCGAGATATTAATTAAAAACTCTGAAAATGCTAAGTTTCTCACTCATTTTTTCGAATGGTAGCAGTTTTGCAAGCTGGAGATAAAAGTCTGCTTTATTTCGAAAAGTGTTTCCCCTGCTCGCTTTCAAATCGTAGAGTTTGTTAATCAAAAGCTTGTAACTTTTACAAAATATTAAATAAAAAAAAAATCTGAAAGCTTTCAGATTTTATATTACGCCCCAAAGGGCATTTTTTAAACTTTTTGAGTGTTACCTTTAGTTATCAAATATCATGTTCTTCGCACTTAAAACACATAAAAATTCAGTTCAACATCAGTATCACTAAACTGTATAGCTTTAGAATTTCCGATACACAGTCCCTCCGAGACAAATGTGTTTTTTTCCGTACTGAGTTGCCATTGCTCGCTTTGAAATCGTTGAGTTGTTAATCAAAAATTAGTTAAAATTTTACAAAATTTTAAACGGATAATAAAAAAATCGAAATTCAAAATTCGGACTTCCAATTGTCCATGTTCGGTTGGAGGACTACGATATTCAAAATTTGATGGTTCTAGGTACCGTTGTTTCTTCACAATGCGAGAAACATTCATGCATTCATGCAGATTCTCCATTATTTAGTTTCTTTAAATATAATACATGACGATAGTGTTTGGTGGCAACAGTTTGAACAGTGATTCGACGCAAAATGCCGTTTAGAAATTAATAGCTTTTCTGGGCTAGTGCCCTTTGGCCTAATAAAGCATTCCCAAACATTAAACGTATTATTAAAATCATATTCTGACGTTAAAGAAAGCACGTCATGCATGTGACGTTATTGTATGCCGAAACGTTTTTGTTAATATAAGCAATTTAAATAAATAGTTGCTGTTGGCAACCTTTTAGCTCCAGGTTATTTATTACGTTAAATTTAAATCACGCCTTACTAACCTGAAGTGTCAAAAGTTTTTTTCCCCTGGTTTGGCAATAAAAATTATTTACGAATTCGTTGTTGCTTGGAAGATATGAACGGATTTTATTCATATTGAAATGTATGCATTTTCTTTACGGATGTGCATAATTATAAATTTTAATTGTACATAATTATATTGTACAGTTGTGAATAGTTATAAATTAATAGTTATAAATTTATAACTGTAAATTTTGGTTTGGCCGCAGCCCTTTAGTTTTCTAATAAAATATAACGGTTATCTACGTTCAGTGGATACTATAATTACCTCTCCTTAAATTGTGAAATTTTAGTTAACTTAGTTTTTAGCTCTTTAGTATGTTGAGATCTGGTTATTTTTTATTACATGAAGCATTTTTATGATTCTTAAATTAGAATTTCAAATTTGTAACTTTGCTTTGGAAGAATTTTAATTAAATCTTTATTTTTATATCTTAACTAAAACATTTACAAGCGTTTTTAGTCCAAAGGGATTTGAATCCCGAAGGACTATTAGTTTCGTTTTGGCATTTTGCGTCGGACTCATAAATGTCGGTTCACTTTTCAAACTGTTGCCATAAAATGTTAGAGTCCTGCATTATATTTGAAGAAATTAAATAATGAAAAATCTGCATAAATGTATGTATATTTCTCGTATTGTCATAAAACAACGGTACATAGAGTCATCGAATTTTGAATAACGTAATCCGCCAACGAATATGAGCATGTGGAAGACCAAATTTGAAATTTGAAATTTGTTTTATGATCGATTTCCTATTTTTTAAAACTTTGACGAATTTTTGATTAACAAACTCAAGGATTTCAAAGCGAGCAATGGCAACGTTGTGCAGAAAAAACATTTTTATCTCCAGCGCGTGAGTCTCTGTATCGGAAATTCTAAAGATATGCTCGTTTTAAAACTATTTTGCGATATTGCTGTTGCACTGGATCTTATGGTTTAAGTGCGAGGAACATGATATTTAATAAAGAAAGGTAACATACAAAATGTTAAAAAACGCCCCTTTGGACGTAATTTAAAATCTGAAACATTTCAGATTTTTTTTTTTTTTAATTTTACTTTAATTCTTTTTAATTAGAAAGCATAAATGGGTTGGAGGATATCTTTCCAGAAAACACTCTCGGAATTTTTTATGTTTCATAAGTTTTATTTATTACGATTTTAAAAAATATTATCATTTTATGTTTCAAAATTAATATTTTTATCATCTGTTATTTGAAAATTTTTGCGATGAATCCGTCAGTACTTGATAGAAGATCTATCACAACTCTTTCTCAAGATATGCATTCACAAATTTACAGAAAGTTGTGAGTACTCTTTAGAAATGTTTCTATATCGTCATGCAGTTATCTATCGAAATCCAAAGAAACCGAATTTGTTTATTATATAGTTTATTACGTAATTATTCTTCATTTTGCTATTGAAATACACGTACATTTAAACTTAAACATAGTTAATAATAAGACCTGAATTTTGAACTAATATTACACATTAATTAAGGAATAAAATTCTTTACTTAAAATTAGTAACTTACCTCAAAGTATCTATTTCATTTAAGTGTCTAATTTCAAATGCTACGTTTAGTACCAACAGCCATAATTTTTCTGGCCTCATGTTTTCAGTTTTTAAAGCTTTTAAATGTTTACGCGCTTTCGAAAATTTGCATTCATTACTTCAACACTATGCTAAATTGCATTATTATATGATTACCATAATCAAAGTCGTCCAGACTGTATAGTGGTTAAGTGAGCCTTCTACGATAAACGAAAGGCCCGGGTTCGAATCCCAGGTAAGGCATGGATATTCGTAAATGTATAGTGTCAATGCTGCATGGCGGCACTCTAAATATGCAGCGAGTTGAACGTCCTCACGTGTGGATTGGTGGGAGTGGAGAGAGGTGGGAGAACCCCGGATCACCTCGGGGTGCTCTTCCTCAAAATTGGGGGAGGAAAATAGAAGTCCAACCTCTTTTCGGAGTAGGCTGTGGCAACCATTGTTTCGTGTAATATGAACACGACAACAACCATAATCAAAACTTTTTACTTTGTTTTTATTAGAATTCTGAACCTTTTTCATTTATGCCAATATTTTCAAAAGGAAATAGATATCAATTTACTGTATGATAATTTATAATTTGTTATATTAACATAAATAGTTACTTTTGGCATTCCACCTTGCAGAGTCATTGGGATTTCTGAAGCAGAAATGCGCAATGCACGCGCCGAATGTGCTACCTTTGCACCATGAAGGCATGCTGCAAGGAGGGAGAAAATAATTTATATACTTCCCCTTTTAAAGGACGACCGGGGTTTCAGGCACCCATTTGCTAAATCCTGGTTATGACGAACCACTCTTTAGCTCGAGTGCCATTTGTAGAGTCACTAGGATTTTTTGAAGCAGGAGATGTGAAAAATGTGCAGTGCCTTCGCCAGAACTCGAACCCTGGATCTTTCAAAGACGCGCCGAGAATGCTTCCAATTACACCACGAAGGCATGCGGAAAGGAAGCAGAAAATACCTTATAACCTAACCGCATGAGTAAGTGCTGCCGTACCTAAGAAGCTTGTTAACTGTTTGCTTTCGTACTTTGAAATTACTAAGTAACAAATAGAATAAATATTCCTTCAAAAAAAGTTGTTTCTGTCTTCATTACCATTAGTGACATTTTTATCTATGCTTTATTAAAATATGATATTTAAGTTTAGAAAAAGCACACTTACAGATAGAGTTCTTGATTGAAAATTGATGGTATTATTTTGTGCAACTGCTAATAAGGAGTCTGAGAACCCAAAACCTAAACTCACAAACATTACATACGCTATATGCTCATTAATATATAGTGGTTCTCTTACCTCTTTCACGGAAGGCTTAAAAATTTCTTCTCGTCTTCTTTCTGCAGTAAAGGAACTTCTTCTTCTTTCTTGTCCGGGTATTTTGCGTTTGGCAACAATGCTGTACATTCGATCGAGCTGAGAAAGAATGTAAGTGGGTTATTATTAAATAACATACTTGCTTGTATTGAATGAAAGGCAAAATGCAGTATATAACAATATCTGAACAAAACCTGTTGGGATTTTTAACATAATGCAGCACTCTGTAGTAGACTTCTAATTAATTCCTTTGGTTTAAGTTGAAACATGCTTTATTATGTATCGTTTGTTATTAAATTTGAAGACGCACAGAGGAGATACAAGTTGAAAATTCGTTTCATTATTGTTTATTATTGTGGGCGTTAATAAAAATTTAGTTGATCTTATTTTGTAGTTGGAATTCCCTCTTTGTGAAAAACTAATTTAAGTCTATATGAGCATTAAACCACCAATGAGAAAATTCTAGTAAATAATTAAGTGAGGTAATGAAATATAATTGAAATCACTGAAAACTAAAATTTGAAATTGATAGGAGAATGAAAATAAGGAAATGAGATACTTTCCTCTACATTAGTACTGTATTATGTTTTTCATTGAATGCTTAGCAAAAATTTGCTGATAATCTTTGAATATTATTCCACTTTATATCAAACCATGAGGACAAACGTATATACTCCGACAATTAAATCCAAAATTTCTGTTTTTTCTGATCGAATATATATCAGAAGGATATCAAACACAGAAATGTTGAAGACGGTGATTTAAAGGTAGGACGTTTCTTTAAATAGACGTATACTTCAAAACTTACTTACTTACTTACTTACTTACAAGAAGCAATTAAAATTCAACGTATCTCAGGATTTTTTCAAGTATTAACATTCCTCAAAACTTGTTTCCACAGGGACAAGTGAGCAGTATTTAATTGTACTATTTTTTGAGATTAAATAATCTAACAATTATTAATTTAAAAGTTCTAAAATCTACAACCAATAAAATTAACTGTAAACTTTATCCAAAAATTGTTGTTAATATTAAATTATACCTCGACACCAATATTTCCCAAATTACAGTACTTCAACGTATGATTGCTTGATTTTACGAATAGCTTTGTTATAGGAATTGTGATGCATATTAACTGGAAACTGAATTCAGATTTTTATTTTCATTTCTTTCTTGTTAGTAATTCGCGATATGCGCGAAGTGTATTAACAAAAGACCTAAGAAATAATTTAAGTTATCTTCGTATATTTTATTTGCTAAATAATATATAATGAAAGTTAGAAATTGTGTAGTAAAAAGTGGTGTCTATAAGGAAAATTAAAAGTCTTAACCAACGTGATAAGGTTTATTAGAAAAATATAAAAGAGACACATCTTTTTTTTTTTCCTAAATAGAATTCATAGTACAGGTTTGGTGTGCAGACAGCCAAAATTTTAAATGAAGCATGAAATGTTAAAATTTCAATTCTTTGTAAAATTTATATTGTTTCAAGGAAGAAATAATTACTTTCCAGTTTTTGCTCTTAAATATGTTATTAAAAACACAGTGCCTTCTACAAATTATCATCGAGCAGATATACTGATGATCTGCTTACTATGGCTCCGCTGCAATCCAGCAATTAAACTGAATTCAATGCTTCAAATACTTTTTATGTTTAACACGTTTTTAATCACATAATATAAGACTGAATGTTCCTGCAATTATATCATTTTCATCTTTCATTACCGTATTCAATAAATTATGTGAGTTATTAAATATACTTTAATATAATTAATTGTACTTAACGACTTATTTTACAGCTGCAATTTTATGAGCACAATTAAGTTGGATAGGCTAAGATAAAATGCTCGGTAGTTTACATATATGCATTTTCTATTTACATTGTTTTAAAATTACAATAGGTTACTCAAGACGCAATTCTATTACAAACCTTCAAACAGCTGTACTTATATGCGCCGTTAAAGTTTACAGCTACAGCAAGTATTCATACATTTTTAGAATGATTTCATAATGTTTAAAATGCAAAGATTATTTCTTTAAATGTTCCATCTGACAGTCCTTTTCTCTTGACTATACGTCTGCACCATGATTTCCACAACACAAAGGTTTTTTGCAAAATTTCCAGGAGTATTGTTATCCATTGTTCTTTCAGAACTTTTCAGAGTGGGTTTGTGCTCAGACTTTTTTCAAGGCACACGTTTTTACAGGTAAAACGTCAGAAGACTTTTCAGGAATATGTTAAAAATGTATATATACAATACCTGTATCGGTCTTCATTTATTTAAGAAATGCAGTGGTACTTTTCGAATTGTGATTTATTGCTTTGTCTTGAAGAAGTTTCACTCTTTAGACAGTCATTCGGATAAAGAATGTAATTTCTTCTGTGAACATCGGACGTAAAGCTGTCTTTTGATAGTACACTGATTTGACATTAACCATTTTCCCACTGTTCTCACTTTTAATTTGCTTCTATAAGATAATCCTGCTATAATCATTAATTGCTTACTGAATATCTGAAAAATAAAATCTAAGTTGTTCGATTGTTCGTACTTAAGGTGCCTAATATGCATTTCAAACAAATAATTCTAACCACTAATAAATAAATAAATAAAATATTTAATATCCATTTAACTTGCGTTATTTCTTGTTCAAAGCATCCATTCATAAATTTCCTGTTATTAATTATTATCCACCTCTTGATTATGAATTTAAATTGTCTCCTTCGATATGAATTAAAAGTCTTATTTATATATTAGTTCAAAAGCTTCTGAAGGTTTCCACGCTAATTTTGAACTTTGAACGTTTATTCTGAACTTTCACTTTGAAGCTTTAATATCATTTAATATATCCCTTTATTACATTAAATATATCCATAATTTAATCCTCCTTTAAAGAAGTATTCAAATTAGTAACTTCATGAAAAGTAGTTAAGAAAAAGATGAAATTATGTTATTACAAGTTGCTACTGCTGTTTATAAAACGAAAATGAAATAACTTTCGGCCTTTACCTTTGTTCCCATTTTAGTTTGTTTTATATTTTGTAGATGATTTAATCTGAAAAATTAGTCTTGTGATATGCGCAAGTCAACTTTCCTATGCTTAAGAAAGTTCGAAGTCAGAATTTCTAAAAAGTGCAACTTCTTCAGAGTTCGAATTCCTTGAAACTACTTGACTTTCTAAAATGTACTGATCTTCCTTCACAGTTTGAGTTCTTTGAGATTACTTTTTTTGAAAATTGTTAAGCTTTCTATTCTTTAGAAAAGTTTAGTTCGCATTGTAGTTCTGCATACCGAAGGGTAATCTAGTGTATTTTAATGTTGTGATTATCCATTTTTTAGTTGGAATTTTAAGGAAAAATACGGCTAAATAAGTAATTAGTTGAAAACAAAACTTATGATTCTTTCTAGTTTTGATCTTTTGCTTTTAAGCATTTCTTGTTTTAATATTTGAAGAAGAAATTTGCTTCTTTTCATTCTTATCATATTAAAACTGAAGGCAACTGAACACTGCGTTTGTAATTTTCAGTAATAAACTGGAAACATTTAACTTTCGTTTGGAGTTGATTCTATCCTATTGCTAGATTCTTTCCTATCAATCAGATAAACATTATTTAGAGGCAATAATTCCAAATTAAAAGTAATTTTTCATTTAAGATCCTGTAAATAGTTTTAGTATGTATAGAAACTGAAGAAGATCCTTAAATCTTTAGCAAATTTGACATTAACACTTGTGAGTACTTTTTCCCACTAAACATTCATAATTACTCTTAGAGATACATTTCTGCAGGTTTAAGACTGCTGTTCAGTGGCAGGTAAAATTCCTTAAAACAAGACATTAAGAATTAGTTTTCTATTCACTGAAATAAGCATTTTAAACCGAACTAAATACTTGTTAATCACAAGTGAAACGATTACTATTTCTCGTATTGGCTTGAATTCGTCCAGCAATAGTACTATAAAAAGGAAAATAAAGACATAGATGTAGAAAAATGTCTGTAATTTTATCGTAACTTTATGTTAAGATTTTTAGCTTGTGACTTAAAATTAAATTTACAAGTCAATGTTTAGTTTAAGATGAATATATAGAAAAACAAATATGAATACATTTTCTCTCAGTTCTTGAAAATCATTTATTTAGAATAAATTTGAAATACCTCACCATACATATTATTTTGATAGAACCCGTCAAATATTTTCATTTTAATAATTCACGTTAAATAATACATCAAAGTTTTAAACAATGAAAAGCTACTTGCCAGTTAAGTCTGCATACTTGTTGAATTTTTTAGAACCAATCGTTTAAAGACTTTCTTTCTTGCTTATCCTTCTCATTTGGTCGAAGTCTGAGACTGTTTGTTTTTTCATGGACCTAGTTTTCCTTTTGCACAAATCATCCTTAATCATTTTGCACTAATATCTTTTATATTTGTGCAAAATATAAAAATATACATATATCCTTCATGTTAAATAATGTTAAATAATCCTTCATGTGCTTAAATCTCAAACTGCGAATTTCTCTTTAAAAGCCATTCAGAAGTTAAGGGATGAATTCATTTACGCTAACTGTCACATTTTTAGAAACAATATAATTGGATATAAAATAAAATAATCTTAATTTGCCTAAACTCTGCGGTACAATATTATTTTTGAATATCAAGCCTTCGTTATTTAATCTTTTTATTACTAAGCATTTTTAGTGCTTCTAGAAAGATGAAGAATATTTATATGTAAATCTTTAAGCAAATTAAACTAGAAATTCAGTTTTTCATGCATCAAGCATTCTAACTCGAAGTACGAAAAGCCGCATATACATGCGCACAATACAAACATTACTCTTGAAGAGTAAACAATAAAAATTACAAATGAATATCTTGTGCAGTGTCAATTACTTACATGTGTGGTAAAGCCCTTGACTAATATTTTTGGAGACGCTATTGTTCCACTGTCGGCTGAAACACCAACATAAAAATTTCCGGCATATGAGAAGACACAGAAGGCAACGGGGACGTCCGGATGTGAATTCATCCAGAAGGTGACGGATTTAAGGCGACAAGAGGCTAACATTATGTGTCTCTCGGGACCGGGAAGGCTGCAGAAGGAGAGGCTGGCGCTCTTGAGCACTGTCCGGACCAGCCACTGGCAGAGGCAGGAAGGCAGCAGCGTCATCAGGTAGTGTATAGTTCCGTACATGACGACGGAATCACAGGAGCTCTTTAAGTCCTCCATGCATTGATGAACATCCCACAGACCAGGAATTGCTCCCTCCGTGTTAGTGGGCAGACGAGCATTTACCACCGTGAAGCCGGTACCAAGCTCAGGGAAAGATTCCATGGAAGTGGGCTCGTACCGGAGGTCCAAGGAGACGTTCACCTAAAAAACAATGAAAGGTTTCAAGGATTAACAGTCGTAAATTGTAATGCGAAAAATCGTAGAACGAATACATTACTTCACAAAATATTAAACAAAATCAAACCTTTATAGAGTTTGACTTAGCAGCATAATCTAGTGTTAAAACTGTTGACAGACTTGTAGCAAATTACCGCTGAGTCTGAAGATTGACAGGTGACAGGTGACGGGGGATGGGGACAACTGGTATCTAACAAAGGTAAGAAGGTATATGTCCCACGCACTTTGAAAAGGCTTTAACAACCTTTTCTATTTGAATCTGAATTTTAACAGAAGAGAACGTCTGGTGCTTGAGAAACTCGACCATCACTTGTAGGGAGATTAAGTATTAATCAATTTAAAATTTAAGTATGCTGGTTACCGAAGGGTAGGCAATTCAGTTTAGCACGAAGTTGACTCACAAACGTAACCGGGTTAAGTATGCCAATATTCGGCAGCAATAATGTAAAGTCGAATAATTCCGGCTTTCAAAGTTGGGCGAAACGTAACTTGTACGCACACCAGCAGAAACATGCTGCGTTTTACAAGCTAACACTCTCGGATTAAATAATGTACTCAATTTCAATCTGTTGAGGAGAAGGAAAGAGAAGTGACAGTAAATTTAAATCGGAAAATAACTGGTTATGAAACAAACTGGTTGTGAAAATAACTGGTTATGAAAAAATTAGTGTCAATTCGACCTGCGGTAGCTGGTGTATGTAATGTTAATAGATATAGTGATGGTATCACAGCACATAAGGGATACTATCACTAGGAAATTCTGTGGAAAATTATATTCCCACTACGTATGGCGGTGAAAAGAAAAACACGAAAAAATCTGTAACCCGTTAATTGAATCTTCAGAGGGGGAGAAATCAAAAGGAACCTCTAGCTTTGAACGATTGTATTTTCTCGCCTATTAATGAGTGCTGTAGCTACCTAAGAACTCTACATTTTGTGAACACGTTTTAAGGTTATTATTAAAATTAACCAGTTGTTTTATTTTCAGCTTTTACTGTAATTTCTCCTTTCCGTTTTCTCACCAGGATGTAAACCGGTTAGATGGTTTTTAAACTGAGGTTTTGGATTAAAAGACAGAGCGTGTTTCTGACCTGCGTATGCTCGTTACGTTTAGTTCCTGCAAGCTCTGATAAGTTGTACTTATTCGACTTTGAGTTATCGCTGCTGACACTTGAATTTGACGAGGCGATACAATTACTCATTTTCGAATATATTTAAATTGTGTAGTCTTTGGCTACTATTAAATTAATTTTACCATTAAGACGTTTAATACTGAGAACTCCAACCCTACGATAGAGCATCTACAGCATCGTTAACCTGCTAATGTCATCAAGACTGTATACTGTGGTCACCGTATAGAAGTAGGATCTCTGTCAATCTTCTTCATGAAGTCTATTCTACTTCATCTATTCATTCATGAAATCTTATTATACTTCTATACTTCAGTCTAGAAGTAGGATCAAGAAGTAGGATCAATCTTCTTCAGTAGCTGTCAATCTTCTTCATGAAACGCATCTGCAGGATCTGTACGGTAAATGAATGATATACTCCACCACCAGCGACAGAGCCAACCAGTGCCACTAATGCCAGCAAATTGCAACAATAATATAATATTAAAAATTTATGTATTCAAGTTTAACATACAAAAAATTGAATTCAAACAGGAATTAACGTATTTACATATTCCATGTAAACTATGGTACACAGGTACTTTTGTAGAGTGATTAGGGTTTTTGAAGCAGGAGTATGTGCAAAATAAGCAATGCCCTCGCCAGGACTCGAAGCTGGAACTTTCGAATACGCGCCGAGTGTGCAACCGTTACATCACGAAGGAATGCTGAAAGGAGGGAGAAAATATACCCCCTTTTTAAAGGGTGACTGGGATTAGGAAACCCAGTCGCGAAATTCTGATGGTGACAAATTATTGTCCACCACATTTTTTAGTTCGAGCGCGCCACTCTTGAGTCATTAGGTGTTTTGAAGCAGAACTGCATTAAAAATTAGCAATGTTCTTGACGGGACTCGAATCAGGATCTTTCGAATACGCGCCGAGTGCGATACCGTTACACTACGAAGGAAATAAAAAAAGAAAAAGAAAAAAAAAAAAAAAAAAAGAATTATCGACCACAATATTGTAATCAATTAATCAAGTATTTTTATTGCAATCAAGTATTCAAGTACATAAACAGTATTCATATATCATAATTATGTGTCTATGGTATCAACGCATTTTAAGTACTCAAATAAAGCAAGTTCCCAAGCAGTGAATGTAAATAGGTTAAATGAATTCAAGTCCCTTACTGTAATTAAGCACTCAAGCATATAACTCATGTGACCTTGTAACTTAATCATGTATCCAATGTATAGATGCATTTAATTGACGAATCATTTATAATGTAGTATTGTAAGTATTTGATGCGTTTAGTAATTATGGCGAAGTGCGCCCAAGAGTATCACCAATGCATTCTAACAGCTAATGCTTATATATTTACGTAGCTAATGCTTTCATGTAAAATCATCCATGTTCCTGTTTGTTGATGCGACTTCAAAGATAAACCAAATAAATTCCCGAGGCAGGCCTCCTGGGACTCGAGTTGCTGGTTCTAGATAGTGGAGGGCGTGGGACGTATAATACCTGTTTACACCTTTGTTAGACACCAGGTGTCTCCGTCACCTGTCACCTAACCACTTACATTAGGAGAAAGTTTACTCAAGAATGAGATAATGCCTTGTAATCTTTTTCACTTAAAAGGAACTGCGGAAATGTACGAGACCATTCAACAACATCCAGGTGGGGACGAGTTATTCGTGCTCTACATATTAGTTTTCTATTACATAAGTCGACAGTGTAGAGAAATGTTAAATTTTTCAAAACCAGGAAAGTTACGAAGTACATCGTAATTTTGCTGGTACTCGAACTACGAATATCCTAACTGCTGGTTGAACGCACTAATCATTTGCACCGAAAAGGCACGCACGAGAAAAATGGGCTGATTCTTTATAAAGTTATAAATAACAGTACGTGAATTTAATTTACTTTTATTGTTTTATTAGACTTGTGAAAGTCAAATAAACTCCACCCTAAAGTTCAGAGTTATTCCAGAATTCAAGTAATTTATGGGCATTGTAGTACTTTTTCGAGACCTGTCATATAGTTTTACACATTTTTCATCTAAATAATAACATTTTAATAACATTTTCTCCTTTTTGCTCTTCGTGTGTTATTCCAAGCATTTTAAACTGTGCATAAGTTCACGCAATGGTGGAAACTCTCTAGAGACAGAATTTGGATGAAACGTAGGAAAATAAGAAAGAAATTAAGTTTCTGACACGCAGTATCTGACATTTGCGCTATGATTTGCCTAGCAACGCTACTGAATGAATGCAGCATTCACATTTTTTACTGAAACTTTATACTTGATAGGGATCTTAGATTATGGTTCCAGTTCTTGAATTAGTTTCGTTTAAAATTTGTTATCCTACATATCAATTCCTTCAGCTGAGAGAAATAATTCTGTTGATTTACACGTATTAATCTGAAGAACATGGTGCTTCAGTTCGGCACAAGATCTTGTTTTCAGTTCAAGTCCCTAAAGGCTGTATGAAACTAATGTGTCTTGCATTAAAGGAGTTCACTTTTCAGTTTTTTAGTTTAATCTAAATAATAAATTATCCATTCATTATGAAATCAAAATATTTATCGAAGGTTTTTAAATTATAAATAGAATACAATCATTGTGTTATGTTCATGTTTTGTATTACAGAAAATGCCTTCCAAAAAATAGGAATGGGGTATTATTCTCATAGATACATAGTTTAAAACACGTATTTTGAAAACAAAAGTAATTAGAGAATGTCTCAATAAAATAATCTACATTTTTATTGTGAAGATCAAGCGGAAAACGTTTCTACAGGGAATGGTTTTCACTAGTTTTGAATCTGAATGACTTGCGCTGTAAGATTATACAATGCAATAACTCCTAGAATGATTCACAATGATTATTTATATGGATACTGGTTTAGTTCACATTAGATATTTTTTGGACAAAAAATCACTAGGTTTAAGAAAATTTTAATAAAGTAATCAGTTTTTTTAAAAAACATAGAAGATGTCTCAGTTAAAGGCAATTTTAACACTAATGTTTTAAGTAATATAGTTCATTTCAGTTTGTAAGATCTACTTGTCTGTCTTGTAAGATGACAGTTGCAGTATGTGTAGGAACCACACAGGAGAAGGGTTTAAAGTATCTTTATTAAACTCTTTAAAATTCACAAAGCGTCGACTCGACGCTAACACACTACGCCACATTCCAGCAGCAACTCAAATAACAAGAACTAAAGTAAAACTTCGAAGACATTAACAAGTAGTAGAAATTACTCTACAGGGCTCAGATACTCCAGTTACTTAAAACCGCTTCGAAATCAGTGGCAGCAAAGTAATTAGAAGCTCACGCTTTACAGAGGTAACTGTGCTTGCCCAGCTCTCTAATTTTCCCTTCTAGAACTCAATATTTAAACATTTTCTCCTCAAGGTAGAATTTGCATTACTTTCACGCGTGCTACCAAATTTAAATATTCTGGTATTGACAATTAGGGGAATGAAGGCTTATAGGAAAGAACGTAAAATTAAACTAAATTGATTATTTAAAATAAATATACATACCTACAATTTAAAGAACTGCGTAGATGGAGACAAATGCAATACGAGTTGCATAATTCAGTTAAATTCAATATTGTTTAGATTTATTTTTCCTAAAATTTTGAATTTTAAATTTTCTATAAATATTGTAGCTATTTTTATTTTACTACTTTATTTAATTTTCATGAAGAAAATAAAACCAAGGAATTATAACATTGTCAGAATTTCTGTCTTTCAGAATGGGAATACGTGCTTCTAATGCGACTATTTTTCACTCTGCAGTATAATATCAAAACGCAAAAGGATTCATTTTTATTAAAAAACT